TGACTTATTTCTCTCTTTCCTGGCAGCTTCCTGATTGCAGGGACCATGTCCGGTTCTGCCATCGCTGTACCCCTAGACTTGGCTTGGTGCTGAGGCTCTGGGTAAATACTGTGCAAATAATGAGTGATAACAACAGTTATCACTGTTGACTATAAACAGTTCTCACTAGCCTGGCTATAAACAGGCTTCCTATTGCCTTTAGGGAACCAAACTCCTTACAGGATATAGAAAAAAAGTCTGGACGGTAAAACCCTGCAACTATCAATATTGATTTTTCCCTGAGCCAAATGATTACAAGTGACTTTTATTTTCTTCCTTATATTTTCCTTTCTCCCAATTTTTAAAAACAAGAAGCATGTAACTACCTTCCATTATCGGAAAGAGTAAATGATGTTGAAATACTACGATACCAATAGTCAAAACAACATGTCAGCCTTGCTGATGAGAAGAAATCTTTAGAAGCATGACTGCCTGTTCTTTAGGATTGATCCAGGCAAATAAAACAAACAATCTTTTTTATTTGCTAGATGTAACCTCTGGGTAATTGCAAGGATGACTTTTTATTAATATAAATCCCTGAATTTTATTTAGTGGAATGACCTCTAGTGGCCTCAGTAACATAAACTATAAATTGACTACTGAATTATTCCTCGGGATGGCTCATAGCTGATCAGGGGTGATTCTTCTGATCAGAAAGGCCCAATGAAGTCAGCAGAGGGGCAACTTTTACCTTGTTTTATAAAACTGGAAAATGTTGACATGTCTGTAGGTTTCAATTCTTCAAAATTCTTCAAAATGGACCCATGTCCCCACACCCCTCTTCAGAGCAAATCTCCTCTCCCATTTAAGCTTTGGGAAGATGATTTGTCTAAGAGAAGACAGAAGCGCCCATCAAAAGTCTATCCCCAAAACGCTTGGCAATTCATGTATCAGCTGTCCTCCAGGGAGCCCAAATGAGCTCGTGCTTCTGGAAATGCAACTGATTCCTTCATAAATCAATGTGACTGTAGCTGGCAGCAGTGATGTATTTATTTTTTCTTTTTTTTTTTTTTTGGCGGTACGCGGGCCTCTCACTGCTGTGGCCTCTCCCGTTGCGGAGCACAGGCTCCGGACGCGCAGGCTCAGCGGCCATGGCTCACGGGCCCAGCCGCTCCGCGGCATGCGGGATCTTCCCGGACCGGGGCACGGACCCGTGTCCCCTGCATCGGCAGGCGGACTCTCAACCACTGCGCCACCAGGGAAGCCCAGTGACGTATTTCTTAAGCTAAGTCCGAGGAGCAGTAAGCAGTCAATTATTTTTATACAATGAATGCAACTCAATTTCTGTCTAGTTAATAACTGTCCTCATTGGTTCCCTTTTCCAAATGGCTTATTAATGTCAGAGGATCCTCATCTCAACCCTGTGCACCTCTGAGGATTCTTCTCAGTCTCTGTTTTATGAGACCATAATAATGATCATTGTGTCATTTACTGAGCACCACATGCCAGGCTCTTTATGTGCATTTCTCACTTAATCCTCAGAGTAACCCTGTGGGGTTAGGGGTTTACAGACAGGGAAAAGGAGCTCAGAGTGATTAAGTAATTTGGCTGAAGTCACTCAGCCACGAAGTAGCCTAATGAGAGTCAAACCCAGGTCTGTCTATCTCCAAAGCCTGTGCTTTTAAAACTTACTACAGTTTTCTAATATCATAGTCAGGTTCAAAACAGAGATCTCTGTCTCTACTTTAGCCAGACAGGAAATAAAACTACCCCAAATCTATGCCTTGTTAGGATAAAAAAGAAACTACAGTGCTTCTTCTTCTTCTTTTTCCTCCCACTTTGCACACTGCACAGATTTTCTGTGTCCTTGAAGGGAGACCGTATCATGGAGGAGAATCTCATGGGGAGGTTCATGGAGTTATCTTTAAATCTGTTGAGTTTACAATAAACATTCTCAGAAAACGAGGAATAAGGGGGGAAATTTCGCACTTCGTAAGAACATGTATAAAAACCCTACAGCTAACCCCGTACTTAACGGTGAAGGACTGACTGCTTTCCCCTAAGGTCAGGAACAAGCGAATATAAGGATTTATACACTGCTCTTGTTCAGCAGAGTCCTGGAAGTCTTAACCAGGGAAATAAAGCAAGGAAAAGAAGATTAAAGGCATTCACATCTCCTTTTCTGAAAGGAGAAATAAAATTGTTCTTATTTGCAGATGACGTAATTGTTTATGTATAAAATCCCAAGAAATCTACAAAAGCCCTTATATAAGAAAGTGCAGTTAAGGCTGCAAGATACCAAGAAGCATACAAAAATCAACTGTATTTCTATATACTGTCAATGAACATGTGGACACCAAAATTAAAAATATAATACCATTTACAATCACTCAAAAAAAAAAAGAGAGAAATACTTAAGTGTAAATCTAACAAAACATGTACAGGACTCATATGCTGAAAACTACAAAACACTCATGAGAGACACTGAATAAATGGAGAAATATACCATGTTCATGAATTGGAAGACAATGTATATCAATTATTCTCACATTGATATATAGGATTAAACACAATTCCAATCAAAATTACAGCATGATATTTTGTATATACAGACAGGCTTACGCTAAAATGGAAATGGAAAGGCAAAGGAACTAGAATAGGTTAAAAAAATTTTTTTAAAGAAAAGTGGGAGGAATCACTCTACCTGATTTAAGACTTATATAGCGACAGTAATCAAGGCTGTGTCATAATGGTAGAGGGACTGACACATAGATCCATGATACATAATAGGGAACTAAGAAATAGCCCCCATAGAAAGTATGGCCAGATTATTTTTGACAAACCTGCAAAAGCAATTCAATGGAGAAAGGATGGTCTTTTCAACAAATGGTTCTGGAACAACTAAATGTCCACATGCAATAAAAATGAACTTTGACCTAAATCTCACATCATAAACAACAGTGAACCCAAAATGGTTCATAGATTTAAACATAAAACTTGGGCTTCCCTGGTGGCGCAGTGGTTGGGGGTCCCCCTGCAGATGCGGGGGACGTGCGTTCGTGGCCCGGTCCGGGAAGATCCCACATGCCGCGGAGCAGCTGGGCCCGTGAACCATGGCAGCTGGGCCTGCGCATCCGGAGCCTGTGCTCTGCGGCGGGAGAGGCCACAGCAGTGAGAGGCCCACGTACCGCAAAAAAAAAAAAAAAAAAAAAAGCATAAACATAAAACTATAAAACATTTAGAAGAAAACATAAGAGAAAATCCTCAGGGTCAGGGACCTGGTGGCATGTTCTTAGACATGACACTAAAAGCATGATCTATAAAAGAAAAAAATAACTACCTGGACTTCGTCAAAAGTTAAAACTTTTGCTCTGTGAAATATTCTGCTAAGAGAATGAAAAGATAAGCTATGGATGGGAGAAAATATTTGCAAAACATCTATCTGACAAGGGACTCACATCTAAAATACATAAAGAATTCTCAAAACTCAATGGTAAAAAACCAAACAATTCGATGAGAAATGCTTACAAGACATGAAGAGATATTTCACCGAAGAGGATATGCAGACGGCAAATACGTACATGAGAAGACATTTAACATCACTATCGATTTGGGAAATGCAAGACTATGATGAGATACCACTACACACTTACTAAAACAGCTAAAATGAAAAACAGTGTTTATGCTAATTGCTGGTGAGGATGTGTCTCATCCATTGCTGGTGGAAATGAAGAATGGTACAGCCACGCTGGATAAGCCTGGCGGTTTCTTTACAAACCGAATATATATTAACGTATATGTTAATCCATGCGATCATACTCCTGAGCATTTATCGCAGAGAAATAAAAACTTCTGTTCACACAGAAACCTGTACACAAATGTTTATAGTAGATTTATTTGTAATAGCCCCAAATGGAATCAAAATGTCCTTCAAAAAGTTAATGGTCAAATATAGGTGATACGTCCATACAGTGGACTATTATTACTCAGCAATAAAAGAACAAGCTAATAACCTAAATGGATGTCAAGGGCATTACACTGAGTAAAAAAAAAAACAATCAATCGCAAAGGTCATACATAAATGATGAAAATTATAGAGATGGAGAACAGATTAGTGGTTTTCGGGGCGTGGGGACGATGGTGGGAGGAGGAATTGTGACTATAAAAGGAGTATCACAAGGGACATCCCTGATGATGGAATATTTCTATATTTTGATGGCCACACACAAATCCACACGTGGTAAAATGGCACAGAACTCCACACATGCTTCGTGCCATTCTCTCTACGATTTGTGCATCTATAATTATTTCAAAATAAAGTTTTAAAAAATCTGTCGAGTGAAGTCTGAGAGAGGTCTGCCTTTCACAGTCGTAAAGGGATTCCATTGCATTTCTCTTTCCGCTTCAATATTTTAATCCCTTTCAAAATTTTAAAAGGCTCAAAGCCACTGTTTTTATAATTTCTTACTTACAATTTCTTCCAACTTCCTTGGCTGTCAATGAGCTGGGACTGTGGACCAAGCCACAGCTAATTCAGAGAATGAAATGAAATGAGAGAGTGCTGAGGCCATGCCCGGGGCTTACCCTGATTTACTACTTGGAGGTGTGGGGGCGGGGGAGGGCTCTGAGGGGCCCACAGTCTCCAGAAGCTCTGGAAAGGGCAAGAGGCCATTGCTCAAGCTGGGCACTTCAGGTGGCCGTGGCTGCCAGACGCGGAGCAGGTGAAGGTCAAGCATCAGCTCTACGCCCAGCTTCCAAACCGCGCCATCAGGGTGGGACCCTGCAGACACAGTCAGCAAAGGACAGAGGGCCCATCGCACTTTGCACTGTGCTCATTCGCACCACATGTGCCAGGGAGACCCAGCACATGTGGGGATTAGTTATTGGTGGCACACCGAGGAAGGCTGGGACTGTTAGCCAGAGGCTGTGCTTTAGAAGAGACTGGAGTCCACAGAACAGTAAGGACTTTTGGTGGCGTGAGGGGCAGGGAGGGTCGGGGACTGGGTAGGAAGAGGTCTTACCTCTAAAACAAGGTCTGAATCTTCATGCCTTCCAATCGTAGTGCTTTTATTCAGGACAAAAAAGCCTTCTGCGCTCTTTAGATAGGCTCTCATACTCTCTGCTTCCCCTATAAAAGGTTTACAGAAAGCAATTCTGTTAGAAAAATACAGTCCTCTAATTATTCAATATCATATTTAGAATGAATGGAACACACCATAATGTCCACAGGAGAAGTCAGCAGAGGTAGGAGTGGATAGCTGGATTTAACAATGATCACAATTAGAATTCCGCACATTTTTAAGACTGTCTTTTTAACAGTGATATCCGGCATTGATGAGCTTGGTTCTGATCACAAGAGGACATCCTTTATGTAACTCAGAGCACAAACAAGCAGTAGCAAAAAAAAAAAAAAAACCAAACAAATCTGAATTCCACTGATAACCGCTCTCCACCTCCCATTAAGCTTAGTTTGGGGTTAGTTATCTGACAGAATCAAGTGCTCAGTGTTACTACCCCACCACTTACTAGCTCTGTGACTCTGGGTGAGTTACTTATTCTCTCTCTATGCCTCTGTTTCCTCATCTGTAAAATGGGGCTAATAATACTCTGTATCCCAAAGAGTTTTGTGAGAATTAAATGTGAAGCATCTAGAATGGTGATTGCTACACTAAACACCCATTTGTCCTACTGTGATTATGACTGTTATTAATCTTGGGCTTCTGAACTTTGACTCAAGGAACCCCAGCTTCTACAGAGCTTCCTAAAGTGCGGAAGAGTCAGTCATCAAGGAAATAGGCATTAGAAGATACTTTCTTTTTAAGTCACTACATTCCTTCATATATTTAGGTTGAAAAAAAAAATGATTTCCAAAGACAAAATATCAAGATTATAGCTTGGCTGTACGGTCAAGACCCTGTACGTATCTTTTCCTGGCATTTTATTATGAAAATGTCAAACACACAGAAAAGTTGAAAGAAGTGGATGGTGAACTTCTATATAACCAACACCCAGATCCTACAATCGACATTTTGCTATATTTGCTTTATCACATATCTACCCATCTATACATTTTATATTTTAATGCATTTCAAAGTAAATCCTATACATGTTTTTAAATTTTATTTATTTATTTATTTATTTTTGGCTGTGTTGGGTCTTCGCTTCTGTGCGAGGGCTTTCTCTAGTTGTGGCAAGCGGGGGCCACTCTTCATTGCGGTGTGCAGGCCTCTCACTATCGCGGCCTTTCTTGTTGCGGAGCACAGGCTCCAGACGTGCAGGCTCAGTAGTTGTGGCTCACGGGCCTAGCTGCTCCGCAGCATGTGGGATCTTCTCAGACCAGGGCTCGAACCCGTGTCCCCTGCATTAGCAGGCAGATTCTCAACCACTGCGCCACCAGGGAAGCCCTATACATGTTTTTTAAAACATAAAAATTTCAGTGACTTCAGTAGGTTCCAAGATGTTGATGATAATTCACATGATATTTGAATTCTGATCCATCTCAATGCCATGTCAAAGAAAGTCTCTTTTTTTTTTTTTTTGGCTGTGTTGGGTCTTCATTGCTGCATGCGGGCTTTCTCTAGTTGCGGCAAGCAGAGGCTACTCTTCCTCACAGTGCACAGGCTTCTTATTGCGGTGGCTTCTCCTGCCGTGGAGCACGGGCTCTAGGTGTGCAGGCTTCAGTAGTTGCAGCACGTGGGCTCAGTAGTTGTGGCACGCGGGCCCTAGGGTGCGTGGGCTTCAGTAGTTGTGGCTCGCGGGCTCTAGAGTGCAGGCTCAGTAGTTGTGGCGCACGGGCTTAGTTGCTCCGAGGCATGTGGGATCTTCCTGTACCAGGGCTCGAACCCGTGTCCCCTGCATTGGCAGGCGGATTCTTAACCACTGAGCCACCAGGGAAGTCCCCGAAGTCTCTTTTCAACTGAAAGATCACTGAAGTGTGAAGTTGTTAGACTGTGGATAAAAACAAAAATCATCTAGGTGTGACCGTAGAGTGTCTCTGGTCTGGCTCTGCTTTCCATCAACATTTCCATCATCATTTCATCACTGAATCCCTCCTAAGTGCCAGGCACTGGGCTATCCTTTTACACACATGGCCTCTTTTCATCCTCAGAACAACCCTGCAAGGTAGGTGCCAGTATTGTCCAGCTTTACAAATGAGGAAACTGAGACTCAGAGAAGTTAAGGTCACACAATAGTAAGTGTGTGACAGCTCTGGGCCTTTGCATGTAACCAGTGTACAAACCTCCATTGTTGCTGGTGGGGCAGAGTAGGGGTGGGGGAATTGCACTGTCTGCTGACACTTGGGACATGTAATAAAAGAAAGTCCTTGAAACCAGCATTCTATCCTCTGAAAGGAAGATGAGACCCTACCTGAGGGTAAGAGAAATAAAAACAAGCAGGATAGTTTATATTTGTAAACTTTGAGGCCTGTGGATGTCCCACAAATATTGATGCTTTCGGGCTTCCCTGGTGGCGCAGTGGTTGAGAGTCCGCCTGCCGATTCAGGGGACACGGGTTCGTGCCCCGGTCTGGGAAGATCCCACATGCCGCGGAGCGGCTAGGCCCGTGAGCCATGGCCGCTGAGCCTGTGCGTCCGGAGCCTGTGCTCCACAACGGGAGAGGCCGCAACAGTGAGAGGCCCGCGTACCGCAAAAAAAAAAAAAAAAAAAAAAAAAAAAAAAATATATATATATATATATATATATATATATATATATATATATATGCTTTCATATAATGAGAAATAAATTTTATTAAGTTCGCTGTCATGTATATAGGGGAAAAGACATTTCCTCTTCCCAAAGAACCATGCTCTGTTGCCCTCAGTTATTAATCTTCAATTGCAGAGAACCATGTTATCAAGCAACACATTCAAGTCGAATTAATCTAAAATGTAAACTTTCAAGAAATGTCTCTCCTGCAGGAAAACCACAGGAAATGACACTAATCTAAAACTTAAACTTGGATCATGCGCATATTTGTGTTTTAGCTCTCACCCCAGATGTCCCCAAGGCTGGGGTCTTCTCTCTGCTCAGACGTCCCCCCTTGGGGCAACCACCTGACCACTCTGGCTAAAGGCACCCTCAGTCATGTTATTCCCCTGCTGGTTTTCCCCTTCTGTGTTTCCTTCCTTGTACTTATCGTTCTCTGACATGTTCTGTTCCTTTATTTAGTTATGCTTGCTGTTTGTTTCTCTTTCACTAAGATATATGTTCCTGGGAAACCAGAACTGTGTTCATTTTGTTAAGAAGCGATTCTTTGTGGGTATTTTGTGTTTGTACCCATCTTCAGAGCAAAGGCATTGAAAGATTTTGTCCTGCACTAACTTTCTGAGGAGGCTTGTATGGCAAACAGCCTGGGAGGATATAGGTAATGTTTATAATAAAGATAACGGCTCCTTCTGGGGCAAAAGTTGGGCAGGTTTGCTAGCAGCCCCTTTCAAAGATTGCAGTTTCCTAAGTTTGGAGTTCCTTACGTGGCACACAGACCCACTGTGGGCACAGCATCCACACTGGCTGTCTGCACCACCCCGAGGGACTTTCAGGGCAACAGGAACCAATGTGCATATGCAGCTCTGGCTGCCTGTTATGTCGGCTGTGCTGTGAGTAATAAAGTTCTTTGTTTCTGGCCCAGGAGTCTCTTGTCTTCTGCCAGTAACTATAAGCTGGGCAGGCTCTTACTAACTTTCAAACAGGGTAAAACGTCAGACCCTTTGCAGTTCCTGCCAGTTCTGGGCATTACCCCTTCTCCAGGGTAGGGGGGGGGGGGGGGGCAGCACCTGACACATAGTAGGTGCTTGGTAAACACTTGCTGAGTGAATGAAAATACAAACGACACCTCAAAGCAAGTCAGTACAGCCAGCTGGCTAGGAAGCTTTGATAGTAACTACCTTTCATTTTTCCTGTCAGTATCTATCTTAGATGACTCCTTGCAAAACCTAAATTCCATCTCTTTAGCTTTTGGATTGGACAATATTTCTCCACCTTAATTTTGCCCTGTGCATCACTTCCTTGCCTGAAAACACTGTAAAAGTAATTTGAATGTGTTTAGCTCTGTGAATTCGTTCTTACTCAGTGCCATGGAGCACCAGCCACGGTAAAGAGCAAGAGCTTCAATGATCTGCATTCCCCCTGACCACTTTGGATGGCTCAGAATTGGGATATAGGAGCGAACTTCCTTTTGAGGTTTACAGTGGCCTCAAAGTTCCTTAAAGAAGGAGAGTTCAGGTAAGGGGCGGTGTGTGTGTGTGTGTGTGTGTGTGTGTCTCTGACCATTGGGTGGGTGTTGTCCATAAATCAGGGGAAACAGGGGTTCCTCTCTTAATCCCAGCTATACCCACAGGACATCCAAGAGCTGGTGCCCAGGAGAGGCCTAAAGCTCCCGTGCCGGCTACCTTGGGGGGCGAGGTAGGGGCTGCACTTAGGAAGGAACGGCTGGTGTTGGGGCACCTTCTCTGGGGGTGCTCCTGGCGACCCGAGCCTGGATCAGAGAGTTCGGACTCGGGTGGGGCCGGGTCCCCTGCCTACCGCAACGCCCTTGACCTCGCAGGGCTGGCCTCCTCCGGCCCAGGTTTCCGCCCGCCGCCTCCTCGCGCGCCGCTCTCACCTGGCCAGAGGAAGAAGCCCACGCCTCGTCCTCCGCCGAGAGCCCTGACCGCTCGGGAGGCGCCGGGCCCGCTCTGGGCGAGGCCGCCCGGCCGCACTCCCGCGGAGTCTTCAGCCGGCGGCCCACAGCCCGCGCGCCCGCCCGGCCTGTGTACGCGCGTCGCCACGGCAACGCCACCCGGCCGGCCGTGCTGGTGAGGGGCGTGGCGTGCGCGGCGCCAGAGGACGAGGGGCGGTGCGCTGGGAGCACCCGGCCAATTACAGCCCGCTGCAGCGCCGCGAGCCCTCCCCGACCTGCCGCGTAGAGGCCCCCAGCCCCGTTTCAAGGATGGGGAAACAGGCTCAGTGTTCGCAGAAGTAGCCCAAAGTTTTACAGCGGGGAAGGAGCAGACTCAAGAATCCTTCCTACTGACCTTAGCTCTAGGCTAGGTGCGTTGAGGAGGGGGTGGTCAGGCGTGGGAGGGTAATGGAGCTGAACCACGAGAAGCTTGGAGGTTAGTATCCCCGTCCCACCCGAATCTCTAGTTCTCTCGGTTGTGGAGGAGAAAATAGAGTAAGCTAGGGGGACCATCACTTCTGGTGGTGGGGGTGGAGATGGGAGATGGGTGGGGTGGAAGGAACAATTTTGAAAGAATGAAAGATTCTTCCACGTGCTAGGGAAAGGGTATTTACAAGCCCACAACCTTACTGTTCCTGTCCTTCCCTGTCAAAACTCACGTTTATTCATTCATGTGTTCTTTACTTCAACAAACATCACCTGAGTCCCTACAAGTGTCAGACGGTGGCCCCAGTGTTGACCTGGATCAGATCCTTAAGAAGCCCCCCCCGCACCCCCCATGGGCACGGGACTGGGGGGAAGGAGCGTGTGGAGAAGACATGCAAATCCCAACTATCTCCCCTCACCCCATGTCACCTTTTTCAGATCAACCCCTTTGGTCTGGGAGCAGAACAGCCCCGCTGACTACCTACAGAATGCCTCATTTCCCTGGCAGGAAATGACTGACAAGGTGCCCCAAGACAAACTCAAAATATTCATCTAAGAAAGATGAAAGATGGCAGACTCCACTCTAGTCAATTAGAAGAAGATATAAGAGAGGAAAATCATGGAAATCGATATGGGATGGAATATACGGTAAAGATGCTCCCACATGCCTAGAGGCTCTTAGAAATGCACATTCCCTGGCACAGACCTCAGAGATTCTGATTAAGCAGCTCTGGAGCATGGTCCAGGAATGAATTTGTTGCATTCTTGCAAATTCCTTGTTAAAAGCTTGGCAAAACCTCAGGATTTATTCAACCCTGCAGTTGAATCGCAGAGCCCTCCCAGAACTTGTCCCTGGAAATCTCTTCCAGGCCCTCAGTCTGCCTGGAAGGTGCTGCCTGGGTTAGTTTCCTTCGACCAGAAAGACCCTAGGAAAGTATGAGGAGTGACCACAGAGGCTGGGGCCCTGAGTGGTAACTTCAGGTGAACAGAGAGGGTCGGGCTCAACTCTCCAGGCACATTTCTGCCTCAGGGCCTTTGCAGTTACTGTTTCTTCTCCCTACCAGGCACTTCCCCCAGGGATCTCCTCCAGCTCCTTTAGATTTTTACTCAAATATCACCCTATTTAAAATGGTCTTGGAATTCCCTGGCAGTCCAGTGGTTAGGACTCGGTGCCTTCACTGCACGGTTCGATCCCTGGTCCATCCTGCAAGCCCCATGGTGCCACCAAAAAAACCAAAAAAATCCCCCCAAAACATGAATAACAAAACAAAATAAACACCTCACTCTATTGCTCTTCCCTTCATCTTACCACTCCTCTAACGTGCTATTTATTTAGTTTCCTTATCTTATTTGTTGTCAGTCTCCCCACTCCCAACACCCCCCTGCCCTCCAACTTAAGCTCCATGAGGGCAGGGATTTTTTTTCTCTTTTGTTCACTACTGTATCACCAGTACCTAGAACAGTGCCTGAATGAATGAATGAGTGAGTGAACAGGGGCAGCCCTTGCCACCCGCCCACAGCCTTGCCTCCTACCTCTTGAGCTGCTGAGCTGAACTGTCCTTACCCCAGGACCTAGGCTTCTGTAGCCATGGCCCTCCCCAGCCCCACCTCCATCTCCATGCTTGTCTTCAGTGTCATCAACATGAATACAGAACACAACCCTGCTCACTGCCAGCCAGACCCTACGGAGCCCATCCAGGCCAGCCTGGAGCCGGAGCAGCCCGTGGCCCCCTGATAGGCTTGGGAGAGCATGTTTGCCATTAGTCCACCTCTCAATGATGAAATACTAAACGGAGAACAAAGCTGACATTCAGACTCCCTGGAGCAGAAATTGCCAACTCTTGATTGTATCCTGCCGCTCCCCACAGGATGCCACAGTCATCTCAGAGGGTGTGTGAAAGTCTTAAAACCCAGTTCCATGTCATCCACTTAAATTTCAAAAACAAAATAAAATACCCCAATAACTCGTGGCTTTATTACAGCATGTCCTGGGCTGAGTAAGAGTTGTACTTTGCAATGATGGGGTGTTAAAAATACGGCACCTGGGGAATTCCCTGGCAGTCCACTGGTTAGGACTTGGTGCTTTCACTGCCGTGGCCCGGGTTCAATCCCTGGTGGGGGAATTAAGATCCCGCAAGCCACACGGCATGGCCAAAAAAAAAAAAAAAAGAGGTTTCTAGATTATATGGGCTCCTTGGTGATGCCTGTAATCAATCAATCTTATTGAGCTCTGCGTGGCTACCAAGGCTGTACTGTATCTCCGTCAGCATCAGAATGCTGGTGTCTGAAAGGCCTGGGTTCAGGTCCCAGCTTCGTCATTCCCAGCTGTCCTCATAATACTGGAGCGAGTGATGTTAACTCTGGGCTTTCCACCTGCAGGGCACTGTCTCAGTCCTTCCTGTGGACCATCTCATTTAATCCTCACCATAACCTGGGGCAGTAGGTGTGTGTGAAACACCTGGAACAGTGAGCTCAGCAGAGAAGCACTCAAAAATGTCGTGATGGGTATTATTTCTATCAAATCACTCCCACTTGAACAGGAAAATAAGGATCAAGAGACGTGGAGGTATGTGCCCAAGGTGGCACAGCCAGAAAAAGATTTGAATCTAGATGACTGTGATGGGAAGGTATTTTCCCCCGGGACTACAGGTGACAGGTGTCACAGCCACGAGACACCCATGCTCACCACCTGCTTTCCCTCAGCCCTGAACAATCTGGGCTTCCGGCTGTCCTGAAGTTTCGGCAGTGGCTGCAGCAAGAGGGGAAGGGGGCTGAGGCCAGGAGGGGGTAGCTGGGGCTTGCCACGGACCTCTCCTGCCACCCACTGGGCTTCTTTCCTGCAGGACCTCTGCCCCATAAAATCTCATTCAGCCGCATACCTTCCCTGGGCTGTCCTTGACTGGGAGAGCCCATCCACTGTGCCCCCTCCCCAGACCTGCTTGTTGTCTCCTGCATTCCAACAAGAAATGAATGCTGGCCTCTGGCCCAGAAGAGGTAGGGAGCTTGCCGAGCCTTTAAGGGGTAAGAGAGAGCCAGGGAAAGAGCTGGAACAGGAGAAAGGGAGAGTAAAAGAGAGAGAGAGTGCTCGAAGAGCAGGAAGTAGCTAAGCTGTTGAGTAGGGTGAAAAATGGGAGAGCAAAGGGCCACTAGAGGCTCCACAGTCCATTAATAACCTGACCCTATGGGCTAAGGAAATGCAGGTTTTTATACACACACACACACACACACACACACACACACAGGTTCACAAAAATAAATTCAAACCACAAAATAACAGCTGGTAACCGAGGCCTTCTGCAGCTCTGCTCACCCGCTTCCCCTGTCAGAAAATGAGAAGACACCCAGGTTTTTTCTCAGATAGAGACAAGGCTGGTTGGGACATTCATCTCTTGCAAATCAAAGCTTTGCCAGGGGGATTCCCTGGTGGTGCAGTGGTTGACAATCTGCCTGCCAATGCAGGGGACGAAGGTTCGAGCCCTGGTCTGGGAGGATCCCACATGCCGCGGAGCAACTGGGCCCGTGAGCCATGGCCGCTGAGCCTGTGCGTCTGGAGCCTGTGCTCCGCAACGGGTGAGGCCGTGATAGTGAGAGGCCCGCGCACCGCGATGAAGAGTGGTCCCCGCTTGCCACAACTGGAGAGAGCCCTCGCACAGAAACAAAGACCCAACACAGCCAAAAATAAATAAATAAATTAATTAAAAAAAATTAAAACAAAAAGCCACTCTCTCTAAAAAAAGAAAAAAAGAAAAAATGCTTTGCCAGGGAGGCCAGTCTGTATGTTCTGTTTGAAAACTGCAGATGAAGGGTGCTGATCCCACCTCTGATGGGCCTGGTTTTGTTTGTTTGTTTGTTTTATTCTGTCTGTACCTCACTTCTCTCACCTGTAAAATGGAGGTAATAACAGCATCGACTGTAAAGATCAAATGGGTTAATATGTGTGAAGTACTAAACTGTTCCCGCGATACCACAGACTCCTTCTGTGAATGTCCGCATTGCTGTCTGTCTGTCTGTTTGTTTTTGTTGTTTTCTTGATGATGTGGGAGGACAGCACCATCTCAACCCGATCACAAACATCCTGGGGAGAACTTTGATTTGCATCGTCTCAGTCCCAACCCAGAGCAAACTTGACCTCTGAACACTCGCATATCATCTTGCTTGTTGCCCAGGGACCTTTCTGGGTGTGGGTGTCAGAGGCAGGCTGAGCTCCCCCCTGATCACTGCTAGAGGGGTTCTGAGAATCCAGCTGGTCTCTGTGGGGTGGCACCTGCAGGACAACTCTGTAAATTCGACTCCCAGGCATCCAGGCAAGTCAACCTCCACTACTTTTTTTTTTTGAGATTAACAATGAACCATTATGAATGAGGTTAACCAAACTAGCTAATATTTATTGAGGCTTGTTAGGTACCAGCCTCTATGCCATGCACTGTTTTATTTAATTCTTAGCCCAACCCATTTTACAGAAGCGGGCTCAGAAAAGTCAAGTAACTTGCCCAGTTACAAATCTCGTAGGTGATAGGTCCAAGATTTGAACCCTAGCTGTTTGACTCCAGCATACTGTCTTTTTTGTAAACTTTTGTTTTCAAAACATAATATACATCTCGAAAAGAGCACAAATGATAAGTGTACGCTTGAAGAATTTTCACCAAGTGTATG